TGCCTAAAGTTTTTTTTTCCGCTGATAAAATGAAACTTCTATCAGAATTTCTATCTTCACTTTTCTAATTTTGACTTATTCTCTTAATACTGCAGAAGCATCATGCTGTTCAATGCCAAAGCTGTGTGTAGATTTTTGCAGACAAAAAACATGTAGAAGATTAGCCAGTTTATTTTGCAATGTTGTTTCAGAAGAGCTTTTAACTTTCCATTACATGTAATGATTTCTCTCAATATTCAGTGATTACTTTGAACATTCCTATAGTTTCATACCTTTGGTTTAAATGTCTTAAATTTAGCTATCTGGGAAGCCTTATACTGATCTTTTTATTGAATTCTTTTTGAACTGAAAATTCATATAAATCTGATTTACAATGAAGCATTTCTGCCAACAGTGTGCATTCTAAAACACTATGTTTAACTATGAAATACTCTAGTAAGGTATCAAAATGTCTACTTGTGGGCCTTTCTTGATGCTTACACATATTTAAGCACCATCTCCCATTTTCCTTTTAGTATCTCTATAACAGTAATTCATACAGCCGTAGCAACAACCTATTCCCAATAACCTGATATGTGAAACACTAGCTCTCTTGTAATCTAGCTATATGCTCCATTTTTTTAAAGAAAAAGAAAGAATAACCAGTTACAGAACTGGAGATATCTTAATCTTTACTTATTTACAATGTAAAGTCTGAAAAAACTGATAAATTCTCTTGTCTTATTTCAGTAACATTGCAGGTTTAGTCTGCCACCATTAAGAATTAAATAACTTGGACTATAACGTGTCATCAAGTCTTTTAGATAAGTAAAATACTTACACTGAAGAAAAAAAATATGAAACCTATTCCTCCCAAGTCATGCTTAGGAGCTAGAGATATAATCTGTAAGCATCAACTTTCATTATGAAATATGGGAAATCGTAGCCTTTCTGTAAATTCATGAACAGTTTTGATGCTATTTAATTTTCTGTATGTACACTTACTATGCCACATATTCTATATATCTACTATAAACCAGATTATTAGCATCATCCCTTCTTAATTGCTTAAAAATATGCCCCAAGATTTTAATCATCTCCATTAGAAAACTCAGAAGAAAGATGAATCAGATTAAACAAATAAGAAGTACTCTAACAATTCAATTGTGCAGTTTGCTTTCAAATTTACTCCTTTGAAATAAAGAATATTGCAGCAAGACTTCCTTCCAAGTAAACAGGTTCAAGGACACATTGCTACAGTATTTGGATTGCTCTGTATCCTCATCCAGAACAAAATACTATTCTGCATTCAAATTTTGTACTAACCAATACTGCTTCATGAACCATTTACACCATTTAATATTTTATTTTACTAATCAAGGGAGAACAAGGAATCTTGAAATGCTTGCTTAGCCCTTTCTAGCTTCAGAGCTACATAACTGAACCCAAATCTTCAAAGGGCACAGGTCACACATTGTCATTTTTTTCTTTGTAACCTTAACAAATAAAATGTATTTGTAAGGCCAGGTTTCCCCGTAAGAAAGTCTCACTGATACATTCCAAGAAAGCAAGAAATAGAGAGTCAATTCATTCATACTGCTATCTTGCAGAATCTTTAATGCACACTAATTTATTTCAACTTGAAGCCTGACATATTATTGCTAAGACAAATCACTCATTGCCTTAGAGCTAATGTCACTATTTTAAATGTCAAAATGTCCATTCACAATATTCTACATTACTTTCAACTTTATGTATACACTTAAGTAATGTAAGCTTAAGGACAGATAATGCAGAGGAAACATACAGATTAATTAAAATCATGGAACAACCAAATTAGTCCAATTATAAAAATTCATAAGAAAGCACAGTAGTGGGGAAAAATCATACTGTGTATACAAAATTCTGATATTGATAATACTTTGGGGGATCTAACCATTTTAGCACTGTGTTTCTGAATCTGAAAAGAAAGTTTGATGCTTTTAGCAAAAAAAAAAAGTTCCCATAATCTAATTTTTCACAATTAGGTTCACATGGGAAAAACATCACTGGATAATCAAAGTTGTTACTATTGGAGAGGGAAAATACTTTATACAAATGTTAATAAAGAACCCCTCCACTCAAGGGATTAAGTACTCAATGATTCAGCAATAATAACAGCAATCTTTCTATGATACTTGTTTTGTCTATTCTTATTGTTTTAAATTTGTTTGAGGGTAATAGGTACATTGGCTACTTAGAATTCATAATAAAATGTAGACACATGTAATTCTATGAAATGGAAATAATTTCAAAAATGCTTAGTAAGAGGAAAAAAAACTCGTTGGCCTCTATGGCTCAAACCTTATAGAACAGAGACAGGTGATTTAGTGTTTCCAGATGCTTTGAACCTCAACTCCCATGAGACCCAGTTAGCATATTCAAAAACAGAGAAGATTTGAGATAAAAGTATATTTATTACAGCAAAATGTCTTGCTGCCATAGTTCAGTTCAAGTCTTTAGAGAGATCTCTCCAAGGCTATATATCACTTACATACACAAAAAGTAGGAGACAATCTAAACATGCTAGTCAGGAAAGGGAACATTCTGTTTTTCACCCAGAATGTTCCATGTATTCCACAGAATACACCACTCTGAGCATCAGGATTAGTTCATGCAATTCTGAAGTACATTACCCAGAATAGGGAAAAAATGAATAGTGTTCTGGATGAGTACAAGGGTGATCTAAATATAACTCACCAGGACATAATATACTACGGAAACTTAGTTTCTATCTGCTTTTATCTATTATGCCTTGTCTGTTACATCTATCCTATTCAAATCTGGCATACAGCCCCAGAATGCCTCTAAATATTAGCCTATGGATTGTAAATTTGAATATACAGATAAAAGAATAAAATACATAGGAAATAATAGTCTATATTCAACTTAATTTCAATTAAATTGAATTTTTTACCTAGCCTCGCCAACTCTTGAATTTCAGTGCCTTGGACATTATACAAAGGCCAAAGTAAGTTTCAGTTTATAAAATACATGGTACTGTATTTCATAATTTTATAGTTCCAGGATTTTGTGAAGTTAAATTTAAAAAATAGTGAACTGATTAAGTTTAATTACCAGGCTGGGACAAACTGGAAATATGTTTATCACTTTGCAAGTACCAGAAATAAAAACTATCTCTCAGATGAAGATCAAAATCACATTTATTTGAAACAATGCTGGACAAAGACATTATGTGATCTAGTCTTTAACTTCCGAAAATCATCACTGAAAGCTCAGAATACAAAAAATAATATGAAAGACTGTGGGGAAGGAAGATAAGCAAATATTGTCTTGCAAGCCTACCTCCTAGAAAAGCTTCAAAAGATTTGATTGTTCTGTAAATCATCTGCAAAGCATGCTATAAAACATTCCTTCTGGTTAGTCTGGATCTTACCAAATGTTTAAAAGCCAAATATCTATGTTTTAGCATTCTTTTGTAAAACATAATTTGAGCAAATGTCTAGCAATACTGTAGTACTAACATAGGAATCTATACTTCAAAAATCCAGTTCATATGTCCTACTACTGTATTCTACATTAAGTAATGAACCTGTTTCAACTGAAATTCATTATGATATCAAAGAATCATATGTGTACTATATCACAAAACTAAACATTTATTGGAACTGAGCATGATAAGCAAAGTGTCCATAATGGTCTATAAGCTATAGTTTCTTTCTTGGAATGGTTTTATAACATAAATTTGTACACAAATTTATAGACAAATTTCTTGTGTGTCCAATCCACTTGGCCAATAAAGAATTCTGTTCTGTTCTTGTAAGATTCATTAATTTTGTTTAAATACATGAGCATTTAAAACAGATCATACTGAACTGAATTATATTATTTGATGTGTTCTACAAACCTGAACAATCCTATATGACTTGTACAAAACGTATTGCTAACTAGAATTGTAATCTGTCATTAGGCAAAGATAAACTAAGTATATTAGTGTGAATGACTTCTTTTCTAAGGCTTAAACTTCCTGAGCAGTTTATAGAAATCCAAGCTAAGTAGTACTTAGCTCAGTGATGGTGAACCTTTTAGAGACCGAGTGCCCAAACTGCAACCCAAAACCATTTATGCATCGTCGGGTGCCAGGTGGGTGTGGCCCATTGGCTGGGTGTGGCCCATTGGCTGGGCGTGGCTGCAGTGGTAACGGCAGACTGGGTGGGACTAAAAAGTTCAATCAATTCCAACTTTGCAAGATTTTTTTTCCCGCGAGAAGTTGAAATTGACTGATTGAACCTTTTTTTTTTTTTTTGCACACGGCGGGCAGAGGCCTAAAGTGAAAAGGTTTTATAAAACCCAGCTGAAGGCCTAGGACTGGGGCAACAGCGTGCGTGCCCACAGAGAGGGCTCTGAGTGCCGCCTCTGGCACCCGGGCCATAGGTTCGCCACCACTGGCTTAGCTGATCCTAGCTGATTTAACAAAGTAAGTAGAATCAACTGGATAAGATTTGAATGGAAGACCACCAGGAAATTTCAGGATTGTAGAATATATACTGGGAATTTAAAAAAAAATTAAAATAGAAGAAAACATTGGCAAAACATGAGTCAGACTTATATTCCTAAAAAAATGATCTAATGATTAAAAATGTGAGACAACTACCTCTTAAGCTAGATATTTCAAGTTGGAAAAAAAATAGAGAAACTTGCTTGTATTAGAGGAGATGATGGCACATAATAGAGATGACTAAGGATTGACCAGGATTCAGAAAGCTACAAGAGATACACCCAAGAGCATGAATTTTTCCTGTGAATTTTTCATTTTCTTTCTAAAGTAGATTAAATACCATAATTGAACTATTTTTTAAAATACTTATTTCTGAAATGTTCTAAATGGTGTGAAATGCTGTTTTGGAGAAAAAAGTCATTTGGGGGCAAGTGTCAACAGCATGCATTTTTGTTGCTGCCACAAAATTAAATGTGCATTACAAACAATATATGCTTAACAGGATCACAGAAATATTTTTGAACATTTAAGGAGAAAAGCATTTGTGTTGACTGACTGAATTCCATCAATCATATCACCAAGTTAGAAATCAGATACTTTAATGGAACATACATTTCAACAAAACAAAAATGTACAGAAATTATCTTAGTTGTAGATATATTCAACTGGAAATTTCAACAAACATAAAGTGCAAGGTATTTTCCCTCCGAAGCACCCTTTAAAATATAGGTTAGCCCTATATTTTTCAACAAATAAAAACAACTCCCAAGAACCCTTTGATAATATCACTGAAAACTAGTGGTACTTTTTTTATCATATTGAGGTAGGAACATGATTAAAAAATAGCACAAACACAATAGATTTAATAGAATTTCAAGAACAAAACACACCCAAATTATGGGAAGTTTAGGTAAAGCTGTTCAGCTCTCAAAAATATTCAGATTGCCCATTACTTGGCTCAACCAAAGCACTTACTACTTTATGTGTGTGTGTGCCTCCAAATCAGTCTCTGCTCCCATTAACTGTCCTGATAGGTCCATGTAATCTTCTTGGCAATATTTTTGGAAGTGGTTTGCCATTACCTCTTTCCTAGGGTTGAGAAAGTGACTAGCCCAAAGTCACTCAGGTGGCTTCCATGCCTAAGACTAGACTACAACACAGTATTCTGGTTTTTAACCTGGTGCTTTAATCCACTATACCAAATTGGCTCTAGTTAATTGCCATACAAGCAGGTTAAAACCTATACACTATTTAAATATTTTAAAGTGATTTACCTGATTTACCTATTACAATTTATCAAACAGTGCTTAGTTAATCACAAATACAGTAACTACAGATCATCAACAGTTACTTTGGCCAGCTTGCGAAAGTGTACATCTTTTATCACTTCTTGCTACTACTATGCTTAGCATATTCACTTAATTCAGAATGCAAGAAATGTTAACTGCAAGAATAAAACAGCTGTTTCATTTTCAAATTTGTCAAAATAAAACAATTTCTTTATTTTGCTACATGTTAGCAGATCTTAACTGTGAATAGGATTACCTAAGTATAATTCAATCAATGCTTTTCCTATAACATAGTAACCTTTCAGAATCTAAAGACTCCTCAGTGAAAACCTAGTTTTGTATTCAACAGTACTTTGGTCATCAAATTATTAGATTTATGCTACAATTTTTATTAGTATCTCAGAGAAATGCAATTTATTCTTCCACTAGACATCAGCCTCTAATCTAATTAAAAATTTATCACATAAAATTTTGAACCCAAAATGACCGTAGACAACTCACCAAAACAGTAGTACAGATGGACTTAAGCTCAGATTCTACTTTCTCTCGATAATCCTTGACAAGTTGCATTTTCTTATCGTTGCCATCAGTTTTCTGTTCAATGCTGGAGATCACCCGCCAAGCAGAGCGCCGCCCCCCAACAACATTCTTATAGGCTACAGAGAGAAGGTTGCGTTCCTCATTGGATAATTCAGCACCTTGCTCTGTCACTGCCTTCATGCAGGTTGCCATATCATCATAGCGCTCTGCCTGCTCAGCCAGCTTGGCTTTCTGGATCATCTCGGTCTTTTCCATGTTAGACTGCAGTGGTCTGAGCAGTAAGGCAACTGATTTGGTAGGAAAGATGAACTGTATCAAAGTAGCTGCTCAAAACCTGCAACAACAAAGAAAACACTCTTAAGTCTGTGTTTTTTCTAAGACAAAGAGCTAATGTAAGTACAATATTCAATATGGATTTAGGAAGTCAGACCAACAGAAAAGGCAATGGGTTTCATGAGAATAAGTAAGAAATAAACCGCTTCAGTTTCCAACTTGCAAACCACCCCATCTAGCAAGAAAAATTTGCATTTTGTCTACAAGAAAATAACACATTTGAGACAAAAGCAAAAAAAAAAAAAAATACTGGTTGCCAAAACCGGTTGTTCGCTCCTCCTCTTCCGAAGACGATGAGGGGCCCATGTGAATGAGACACCAGAAATGGGGGTCAGAAATAAAAGACTCCTCAGTCGTTGAACACGAAGTGACAAATCAAACTACCTGGACATTCTTTTCCACAACGTCTTCCCACCCACCCACCCCCACCCGAAAGAAGGCCTTTGAAGGATATTTTATAGGAAAAGGTACAGAGGGAAAGACACGAATAAGCGCGATTAAGAATCTGTCACAGAACCTGCCAGAGAGAGAGCAAAACGGTCGCGAGACGATGATCTAAGACAGTGTTTCTCAACCTTGTCAATTTTAAGGCATGTGGACTTCAACTCCCAGAATTCCACAGCCAGCAATGCTGGCTGTGGAATTCTGGGAGTTGAAGTCCACATGCCTTAAAATTGACAAGGTTGAGAAACACTGATCTAAGAGAGAATGAACGCCGAAAGCGGCCGGAGGAATGTGGCGGTTCGGTTCGTGGCTCAGTCTAGAGCCAAGGAGAGATTACGGAACCGTTCACGGACTGGGCACCCTCCAGATCTTTTCAGACTACAATACTCATCACCCCCGCCACCCAGCGGTAGGTGCTGCCCGCGAGGTGAAGCAGCCTATAAAAAAACCCGAGAGCCCTGGAGGGCGCCAGCTTGGCGGAGGCCGGGCCGCGGAATGCCTGGAGGCGAACCTCCGGGGGAGGGCGGGGGGGGAGAGAAGCGAAGGGCACAAAAGGTTCCTGCCTGGCCCCCAAAAGCTCCAAAGAGGGCGAACAGGCCCGTAGAAAGCCTTGGACGGAAAGCGTAGGACCGTAAGCCAGGCAGGCAAAAACGTGGTGGGTGGGAAGGAAGGAGGGGGAAGAAAAGGAATTCCGCATCGGAACGTCCTTTTCTCCGGCTCCTCCCTCGGAGCCCCAGGGAGGCAGCCGCGGAGATGCCTTTGTCCCCGGTGAAGGGACCCAGCCCGAGACGGCGAGGCAAAAGGGCACCGTCTAATCACCTCCCATCCCCCGCCCTGCCCTGCCCTGCCCTGCCCTCTCTCTCCCGCCGTCCCACGGAAAAATGCCGCGGCGGCTGCAGGCCGGTACGAAATGGCGGCGTCTCTCTCTCTCTCTCTCTAGCGCCTGGCTGCCTCGCCTCCTCTCCCCGGCAGGGGACTCCCAGTCCCGCGCCGCCCCCACAAAATGGACGACGCGGCACAGATTCGCGAAGCAGGAAAGACGCCCGAGGCGAGGACGTCCCCGCTCCTTCCCGGGCCGAGCCCCCCCCTCGCTCTCACCGGTCTCCGCTGAGGCGCTAGGCCGGCCGGCTGGCGCCTGCTGGGTCAGCTGCGCTCGCTACGCTCCGGGACTGCGCTCGCGAGGCGGGGAGGAGGAGGAAGAGAGGGAGAAGAACAGAAAAAGCTGCTCCGCTTTCAGCGAAAGAAGCAGCGTTGCTAAAGGGCGTTGGCACAAAGCGAGCCTCCTCACTGCTAGGCCCGCGCTCGCGCGGCTGGACCAATCAAGAGGCACTCTCGGGGCTCCGACTCCGCCTCCCACGTTCATCCGGCCAATCCGGCCGCTGGGCGCCGCCGCGAAGGTGGACAGAATCAAGACGCAAGTTCGGTTGGCCTGCGGGCCGCCGCAGCTAAAGCACGGGGTTTCCTCCAATTAGATCCAGGGTGAGGTGACGTCATCGTCGCCATGGAAATGCTGCTACAGCCCCCACCTTTTTTTACCCCGCCCATCTTTTTTTCTCTCTCACACGTTCGCTTTTCCAGCCCTGGGAGGGTGGGCCGCCGGGTGAGGCATGGGACGGTGCGGAAGCGAGGCGAGCGGAGTCGGTCTCGTGCTGCTGCGGTGTCTTGCAAGGCGCGACCCGACCGCTCGGTGTTTCTATAGGGCGGACGCAGAGAGATCGGTTGGGGGCCTTTGGGGTTGATCTGCTCCTCCCAAGCGAGCCAAGAGCAAGGAATTCGAGTTGCAGGCTTATAGAGCGCTGCAGGGAAAAGTGGCTATAGCGGGATTGATGACTGACGCAGGAAAGTTCACTCACTTTCGTGCTTTGTACAGCAACTTTTTTATGATGGCTGGATTTCTGGTCTAGTGTTATGCGATCCGGGATGGATTCGATTTTTTTTAAAAAAAAAATTTTTTAAACTTTTTATTTATAAAACAATTAAAAAAAACAAACATTGGATTTGACGTGACATTCCAGTATATACATTCTTATCAGATTATGCCATATTTTACAATCAATTCATTATCTCTACATATACATTAAATTTTATATACATTATCTATTCTAAAGTAACATGCATTTCTATCTTATCATTCGTCTTTAATCCCAGCCGTCCTTTTCAAGTTCCTCCAGCGGTAAAATTTATCCCAGGTTTCAAGGGATGGATTCGATTTAAATCACGATTCAGGAAAAGTCGGTTGAATTGTTTAAATAGTTACTTGTTCACTAGTCGGAAACCATTTTTAACCATTTTTAGTAAAAGTGCCCTGGGATTGCTTGATACATCCTGCTGGATGGGCATTTTCAGCCCCCCAGAAAGCTGTAGAATTTCACTTTTACAGATAGTATCATTTAGTCAGATTTTTAGTCAGATTAATCATTTAGTCCGATTTTTTTTCAGATTAATTTTCATTTAGATTGAAATGATGGGCGTCAATTAATTAGACTTTTCCTTAGGAAGTCATTCACAATGGAACCAGCTGCAGTTCACTTTTAGTGGATGTTCGAAGGATATCTTTGCTAAGATGTTCTAAAAGAACAATCATTAGATTTATAAATTTCCGATTGGCAATAAACGGTAAAAATAAAGCATTTTAACAAAAAGCATGTCGTTTTCTTTAGCTTTTTATTTGTTTATATATTTAAAACAAGCAATTTTAACGAAGTCAGCTGAGGAAACCTAAAATACAGGGAACTGGGGAATTCAATTTATATGTGTTCAACTTCTTTAGGGAGTCTTCAAAGGAAGGTAAGTTTTCCTGCTTTCCCCATTTCTACATTTCTCGGTTCTGAAGGAACTTTTCTACTGTAGCGAAAGTAGCTCCTGTACCGCTTATAAAAGTTGGGAGTATTGTTAAAGAGATTTCTGAATCCAAATGTTTAATAGCTTCCCCCAATTCACAGTGTGACTTTTCTTAAAATACTGTACCTGTAAGAAATTCTTCAATGGATCACCCTTTGCCCAAAATACATTATAAATGGTATTATGGAGGGGGGATTCTTGGATGTTCATGTCACAGCTGGCTTCTTTTCAGCTAGACGTGGGTGTAGGCAACCTTGGCTCTTTTATGACTCGTGGACTTCAACTCCCAGAATTCCTCAGCCAGGTACGCTGGCTGAGGAATTCTGGGATTTGAAGTCCACGAGTCATAAAAGAGCCAAGGTTGCCTACCCCTGAGTGCTAGAAGTTCTAAAGATTAATCCTGATACTAAGTATTATAAATATCAGCAACTAATCAAGCTGGAGACGGTGCTTGTCCTTTCACATATATTTTTTTACTCTTGTCACTGCCTATTAATCATTTGGATTATACTCAATTCTTTCCAAATTTCCACAGATTCAGACATCAAACAATTACTTTTCTACACTTTTGGCTACAAAATAGGCTTTAAAATAGTTATCAATGTTTCATATTTCTCTGTTAACTTTATATTTTTTTTAAAAATGGCTCTGATAGATTTAGCTTCCTTCATTAATCAGTGATGTAATTCTGGTAAATTTATTTGATTGCACTTACTTTCTTCCAAGCATCTGTTCCAGTCTTGATTGTGCAAATTTTGCAATATTTCTTACAGTAGTCTGCCTTTCTGGAGCACTAAATGTGCATTAAAGAAGTAAGGAAAATTATGCTGCGGTATTTGGAGACTTGTTTCCTGTTATTTTTTTATCCTGAGAAAAACTGCATAGAGTATTACACATTTCTTACAATTTTTATTACTGCTTCTTATAAATATTTATCAATGGGGACATTTCTTAAGCTCTTTTTTCTGTTAATACTTAAGCATGTACAGTATGGTGCCTCTCATTTGGTTGCACACTTCTCCTTAAACACTTCCTAACAACTTCCCTTCGGTAAGTTCCCCTTTTTACAGATCTACCCCATCACTATAATTCATAACTTTTTTCTTTGCACTTTGACAGGGATCTGATTTACTATGTCAGATGAGTTACTTCTCATGTTCATATTGACAAGTTGAAATAGTGTTAAATTCATGATTACAGGTAGTCCTCGACTTACAACAGTTCATTTAGTGATTGTTCGAAGTTACAATAGCACTGAAAAAAGTGACTTACGACCATTTTTCACACTTACAACTGTTTCAGCATCCCCTTGGTCAGGGGTAGGCAACCTTGGCTCTTTTATGACTCAAGGACTTCAACTCCCAGAATTCCTGAGCCAGCTATTCTGGGAGTTGAAGTCCATGAGTCATAAAAGAGCCAAGGTTGCCTACCCCTGCCCTTAGTCATATGATCAAAATTCAGATGCTTGGCAACTAACTCACATTTATGATGGTTGCAGTGTCCCAGGGTCATGTGATCACCTTTTGCAACCTTCTGACAAGCAAAATTAATGGGAAAGCCAGATTCACTTAACCGTGTTACTAGCTTAACAACTGCAGTGATGTACTTAACAGAAATTTTGGGCTCAACTATGGTTGTAAGTCGAGGATTACCGTAGCTATTCTCATTTTCACTGACATTTTAAAAAAATGATTTGAATTTGAAAGCATTTTTAAATTTCGATTTTAAAATAATTTTTAATCTGACTTGATACATACCTATTAACTGTGATTAGCTTCTGGTTTAGTGTGTTGTGTAAACTGAAAAGTTGGAATAATTCAGTAAAACATGGGTTAGAGTGTTGTGCAAACATAACTGATGATGTTGCAGATGAATGTTTCCCAATAATCCGTATAAATGCAGAATTCGGTTGGAGGATGGCAATAGAGTTATTTGTGCAAAAAAGAGGTTGTTACCTACTACAGTCTTTAGCTCCACCAAAACATTGTGTTTCTGTTACTAATTGAAGGGAGCTAAAAGAAATATTTCACACATTTGATACTTTAGTAGTTTTGCTAGCATTAAACTTTATTCTTTATAATTTGTATTAATAGTGTTTGTTTGCATTGCTTGGAATATTTACCCTAACAAAAATATACTTTAAATATTATGGAAGTGATACAGTGAAACCCCAGTTTACTGGACGATGATGTAACAGGCTTTATATGCAGCAGACTAAATTTTACATGAACCAGAGTTATTACACAAATGACACGATATATGTCATTATGCATCAATTTATTTCTTTTGGGCAATGTCACACAAGTGAAGCAATTGGTTTCATTTGTATAATGCAGTGGTTCTCAACCTGTGGGTCGGGACCCCATTTGGGGTCGATCGGCCATTTCACGGGGGTCGCCAAGCAAGGCTGTCCGCCATTTTTTTTGTCCATTTTTTTGTCCGCCATTTTTCCCCCTTTTCCGGCGGGTGCCTTACCTCCCTTGGGCTGGGCCAGCTGGTGGTCGGCCTGCTCCGTCTCTGCCGCTTGCCAGCTACGCCTCGGCCGGCGCAGGGGGCGGAACCACGCGTGCGTGGCGCTCCCGGGCAGGAAAAGTCCTCGACTTACGATCGGTTGGGTAGTCCTCGACTTACAACCGGTTTAGTCCTCGACTTACAACCGGTTTAGTCCTCAACCTACGACCGGTTGGGGGCGCGGCGTTAAAAAGGTTGAGAACCACTGGTATAATGTATCACACAAATGATGTAAATCACTCCAATCGTATGCTGTCCACTAGATCTCCCTTCCCCAATTAATCCATTAAAATTAAGTTTAGGTCTGTTATTCCATATACACAGTACTTTTTTTCTTAAAAAAAAAAAAAAAAGGTGCCGGAACTCACACACGTCATACAACCCGCCTTGCCTACCCTACAAGGTTCCATCCAAAAAAGGTGCCGGAACTCCGTTCTGGGCGTTCTATGAGAAAAAAAGCCCTGCATATACACCAAAACCTGCTATGCTGCCTCATCATTGTAAGGAGGCTGCTCTTTGGAAGGATGTGTGAGGACTGCCATGACGGTACTTGGGGTATATATACTCCCAGCAGGGTTTTCTGATACATGAAAATCTCCCTCCTGCACAGTTAAAGCAAGCCAGCACCTACTTGGGGTTATAGTAATGTAAGAAGTTGATGGAGGGACCGTATCATACTATGAAGAAGGCATGGTAAACCTCTCATGTATTTACCAAGAAAATCCTATGGAGAATAAAGATAAAATGATTGAGAATATAATGCCAGATGATTGATCCTTCAGGCCAGATGTCATTCAACATGGTACTGAGGACTAGCTGAGGATCGTTCAGAGTACTAATAGT